TTGACACATAAATATATCTTATTAACCAAGCGCGAGGGCCGTACTGGGAGAATATTGGCCCGAGGTCTTGACAGTACGGACCGAGTGCAGCGAGGTCTGTACAAAAAAGACTGAGGGCCAATATTCTTCCAATACGGTCCCGAGCAAGCTTGGTTAATAAGAGATTTATTATTATACGACTGAAGTTCAAAGGGACACGAGTGTGGTACCATTCAGGACAGTGCCCGGTCCAATACTGAACGAATATTGACTGGCAATAGAGCATTTTGATTGGTTGATTTTAGTTATTGACCCTGTGACTGCCCGAGTTGTGTAATAATTAGAATTACCTTACATTAGAATTCTGTTAATCTTTATACATATACCACATAAATTTGAGTACTTTATCTACTAGGCAATTGGTCTTCCTGCCAAGCAAGGGCTTATTCGCAATTCAAAGAATACTATGGCAAGAGCATGTAAAATCATTGGATTGAAGTGAGAATCTCAGTGTTTGCATTTATTTTAAGCACAAAAGTCACTGATATAACAAATTTGTAATAAAACCAGTAGAGTAATCCTGCTACTCATTGAATTTTCAAGAATTCTAAAAGATTTTATACATTATAATAAGAGGTACATTAACTATAAATGGTAAATTTGATCAGTTACGACTTGAAAGGAAGACAAAGGAATCAGACATGGTGTCAGAAAGAAACTTAGATATTTTGAATTAATCTCATAATATGTGTTTATGGCTTGCAGTTGTCTGGTAGAGGGGAACAAAATTTTTTTGCAGCACAATATGTACCACTATTTTCAAAAAATGTCAAAAATGACATTTCCATATTATGTAGGGGTCTTCAAAAGAAGTGAATCACTGAAATTTTTAGTAGATTCCCTAGTGCATTTAATGACCATAGACTGCTAGCCACATCAATGTTATAAGACAGCATATCATGATCATGATTGTATGATTTTTAATTAATATTTGATGACTGCAACTCCAGGTTTTCTGATGATTCAGTTCAACAAGAGGTTCAAGATTCTGATTGTAAGGTAATTACCTGACAAAATTTAACCAAACCCCTTGGCTAATAAGCATCTCCCGTAGAGCCATGCGTCCTCTAAGTAGACTCTAAGATGTGTCATTAAGAGAGAATCAACATGTTTTCTGGTCAGGAGGGTATTGACTTGTATGAGCCTTGACTGTCTTCAAATTACAGCTCATTTCATATGTAATCCAAATAAGTTATTGGAAATAATGTAAATAGATTTACTACAAAGGTACAACAGGTCACCATTGTTGCTCCTGAAAATGTGCAATAGTTAAAGAGATTTCAGCAAATGGGTTTGACTTGAAGTCCAGAATATGGTGTTTTCGTTATTGCTAAGAAAGGATCGATATGGCAGTTGCAACCAAATGAGAATGACCCTAACCATAGAAAGATTTTAGTTGAATTATCTGCCAGCAGACTCCTGGTTTTCCTAGTTGATTCCTTATAAAGGTTTTTTGGCAATCATTTATTTATTTATCAACCATATTTTAGCAGAGATGCCCAGTTCAGCATATGCTGGTTTTAATGGGGCTCTGCAAACCCACCTGTCCCACCCCAGGGGAGGACATCCATCACACAGTAATCTCGTGAGTGGAAAATTAATGTCTCCTACCCCTAACCCTGCAGGAGATGGGACCTCCATTTATTCATCCCTATCCGAGAAGACTAGAATATCTAACCATTTCTTGATGTTATAGAAAGGTAGCATATTCTTCTCAATTATTTTTAAGACCTTGAGTGTTGGTCCAGCCAGGGCTCGAACCCTCGACCTCCCGCACAACAGTCCAGCGCTCTATCCATTGAGCCAACCGGGAGGTGGTTGATGAAAGTTGCTCTTAGCCCTTAAATTCCCTCAAGTGACCAAGACAGAATTTCTCCTTACAATGTCAATACAGTACCAAGCAGACAAGTGCAGAAAAGTCATAAGAATGTAGAAGAATATCAGTAGGGCATCATTAGTTGATCCAATACCAAATTCCCCAAACTCGCACCATAAAAACTGTATCGCAGACAGTAGGGAGGATTACTAATTGGATCTTGGCAGTGAAAGGGTTAAGTACAAATTTTCAAAATGAAAGTTGAGATAACTATGCAGGAAGTTACTAACTCCAGTGCTCTACTGAACAGTAACTTTTGAATTTGTCATCAGATTGTTGATAAAGATGGAAAGCCCTTTTATGAAGTCCAGCTGAATGAAAAAACCACTCTATTTTCTCCCAAAGAAGTTGTCAAGATCATTTTCGAGAAACTTTTAAGTAGGTCACAGCTGTGGACCATTAACTCAGTCAATGTTCCATCTCTCACTTACTATCATACTGATTCTGACATTGTTGCAGTAGTGTCGTCAGCTTATATGAAGGCACGAGTACCAGTTAAATATTCTAAAGTATAAATTTCCCAATTAGCCAAATGCTTTAGATATGGATGCCTTGTGATAAAATCCCATGTGCATCAGGTAAATTTTGTTGTAATCTTGTCATTTTTCTCACAGAAATAAATTATGTCCTGTTGTTGACCTACCCTCCTTACTTAAGTGGGGACTTGACCTTCAAATTGAAGTGGTTGATCTTTTTCATCGCATGATTATTGAGACAATTTGAATTAAGAGATTTTTTATTTGCACAGAAATTTCTCAGGCTAATGGTGGAAATGACATCGAAGAAGCTGTTATCACTACACCTTTACACTTTACCCATGAACAGAAAACAGAGATCAGGTGAACTAATCAACTCTTAATTTGTCAAGATTCAAGAAAAAAATTCTAGAATTGTATGGCCATGTACAATGTGTATATATTCACATCCACTGTATTTGTTTTAATTTTATGCTGCAATTGTACAACTTTACATGTCGTAAACTGCTGCTTATAAGCTATAACCTTGTAAGCTTAGAATCCCCCCCTCCCACTTATGAGTCCCCAGCCACCTCACCTTTTTACAGCCCATCCACAGGTCTTTAAACAGAAAAAAAGGTGTGGTTATAGCCCACCTCCCCTTTCCTATATATAAACCACCTTTGACCTTTTAGCCCTAAGAGTGCACTAGCACGTAATTTCACTCAGCAGTATCATTGCTAAATCAAACATAGTTTGAAGTAACTTTTCAATACTTTGCTGTTAGTACTGCAGTAAAACACTGAGTTCAAGGCTTGTTCATCTTAATGCACACAACAATGAATCAACTTGACAAAGGACTTTGGTTTACTAATGCACCCCGTACCTCACAAATTTGTTTCCTTAGTTGTGCTTTGTATTTCTTGTTCCTAAAATGTTTGAAATGAGTTTGATATATTACGTCATTTTACATACATACATACTTTATTGGCTCGTCTCCCAGGGGCTTTTCAGAGTCAAATCTACATTACATGAATAAACCTAAGTACATAAAAGGATAAAAGATAAAAATTAACTAAAGCAGTCATTAAGGAGCTTTTGCCTGAGCAAACGCTTGAAAGCCATCATGGATGGACTAAGTTTGAGCGCAGGTGGCAGCTCATTCCACAAAGTGGTCGCTCCATATTTTGAAGCTTAATTGAAAAAAAAACATTAAATGCAAAACTTTCTTTTTTCACTCCAACGAAGGGCTAACGCTCGAAACGTCAGCTTTTGTAATCGTTATGGTGGCCAATTTACCATTTCAACTTTGTTGATATATCCAAATATTTCTTTTTTTGTTTATCAGCACTGCTGTAGCTCATTTCAAAGCACTTGTTCTATTCGGGTTACAAGCCCCCTAGGATGTGATGCCCTCTGTTTCTAAGCCCTCCCAAAACCCCTTACCAAGTTGTATAAGCCTGCAGCTTATAAGCAGCAGTTTACATTTTACATACATGTGGTATTTAACCAGTTGTATGGCATTTGTTTAGAGAGGCTGCAGAAGATGCTGGCTTTGATGTGCTTCGTGTTATAAGTCAACCCGCGGCAGCAGCACTGGCCTATGGTTAAGTGACGAGGAATCTTTTTTTGTGATCGTGGGTTAAATGACATTTAATGCCTAATTGTGATATTCTTTTTATTATTAATATCAGAATGCTAAATGTGTTCTGTCCTTATAAATATCAATTCAGTGTATCAAAATTGTGGAAAACATAGTGTACTTGTTGACTCGGGAGTATTTACTGATATGTAGCTCCCCCCTTCTCCCCCTTCCCCCCATTGGAAAACAAATTTACTGTGGGTATCTCTGACGAGTTTTTGGTGGGTTATGCTGTACCTTTCATGGAAATTACTGGTAGTAATAGTAATCTTGGATAACATATTTCAGTAGTTATACTACAGTAACTACTTTATTGTGTGTGTTGACTGTAAAAGCCATTTCAACTTGTTACTTGACAAATCAACTTGACACTAACAGTAGGCCACAAGCCACAGACTAGTAGAAATTCAGTTTTGGCTAATGGTTTTCAATTTCCACTAGCCAGTTTGGCTAGTAAACAAACTGAAGTTGTTGTAACATCTAAGTTGTCACTAGCCACTTGGCTAATAAGTTGAAAAGTTAGTGTTGAGCCCTGTAAATGACAAATTTTCATTTTATACCATGGTTTTTCTTTTACTGAGTTGTTAATTTTGTAATTATCTTTTGAAATAATACTTTACAAACTTTAACTTTTACCTTCCCTTAACAGAAATTGGACAAAATGATCGTACTTCATCAAGGTACGATGATGGTCATTGATTATGGCCCTAAGTGTCTTTTAATAATGTCAGATATAAATATTATTACAGAATTTTTTTATTATGCTCTTCCTATCATCAGATACAGGCAGGGCGTGGTGGGGTGTGTAAGAAAAAGACCAAAGTTAAACAAAATAGGCACACTTGGAAACTAGATTTTCAGAAATTGACAGACATGTAGTTGTCTATAATAAACCAAAACTTTGACACCATTGTGGGTGGTTGGATTCAGAAATTGGTGTTCTGATCTAAAGCTTAAATTCTCAAAAATCACTGTCCAGATTTGTACACTGCTTTATATCCTCAGAAGTCTGGTTGTCTACAGTCTTGGTGGAACAACACTTGATGTCACTGTTTTGGTTGTCAATGGTGGAATGTACAGAGTGGCAGCGACAGAAAGCGACACAACTTTGGGTGGAAGAAAATTTGATGAGTTACTTGCACATCATCTAGCTGCAGAGTTTCAAAGGTTTCTGCTCATGTTGTTTATGGAAAAATTGTGGGTTTACATTCGCAAAGACAAACCAAATCAATTGTAAATGTTTTGGTTCACAGAAATTTGACAGTATTTTTGTCAAACCATTGTTCAGCCTGATCCATACTAGATTTGCCAATGGGTTATGCTACCTATTTTGTTCTCACAGAAGGGATTCCTTTTTATTTGAATTCATTTCTCTTTATATTAATGCAGACAGTGGAAACTAGATGTCAGAAGTAATACCAGAGCCATGGCCAAACTAAGGGCCAGTGCTGAAAACTGTAAACATATTCTGTCATCCAGGGATACAGCAACCTGTGCTATTGAGTCCCTCTGTGAAGGGATTGACATGAACACCAAAGTATCAAGGTATTGAAATGTGACACACAGTAACTTTATCTTGGTCAATATGGGCCAGTTATCAAAAAGGTGGTTAACACTGATCCAGGATTAAAGTTAAAACTTGGTCTTAATTTTTCATCTGTAAGGCGTGAATTGGGGCTGGTTGTTGTTGGTTTTTTCTTTTACTGTGAAATGAAATATGAGTTTAAGAGCTGTCTGTAAAAGCACTAGCTATGCTCTCTTCTAAAATTAATTACCATTTGAACATCATCTAGTTTAGTTTAGTATATTAGCTTCGCTGACCGGCAGGGACACCACAACAGCTTGTGCCAATTACTGCGGGCCCAGTAAACCCACCCATCCCATCCCAGGGGAGGATATCCATCACAGTAATCTCGGGCGTGGGAAATTAACGTCTCCTACCCCCCCAACCCTGCAGGAGACGGGACCTCCATTTATTCGTCCCTATCCGAGAAGACTAGAATATCTAACCATTTCTTGATGTTATAGAAAGGTAGCAAATTCTTCTCAATTATTTTAAGACCTTGAGTGTTGGTCTGGCCGGGGCTCAAACCCTCGACCTCCCGCACAACAGTCCAGTGCACTATCCATTGGGCTAACTGGGCAGCTCAAATACAGAGCTCCAAGCTCCACCTTTCCAAAGTTTCCTTTTTACAACCAAAATTCGTAATCGGTAAGCTAAATACTCAGAAAGCTAAGGAGAAAAAGGCAAATTTCGGTACCTTAAGCTGTAAATTTAATCGCCAATTTTTATTCTACTAGCTATGCAGACCAAATAGGTCTCAGCTTGGAGCTCTTTAGAAAAAACTACATCAATTTGTCATTTGTTTCCTTACAGAGCTCGGTTTGAATCCCTCTGTTTGAGTTTATTCCAGCAGAGTCTTTCCTCCATTGACAGAGTTCTTTCCACAGCAGATATCGCAAGAAACAACATAGATCAGGTATGATGAGTAACTAGCAAATTTGAAGTACCATGATAATTTCTCTACTCTCTCTAAATCTCTTTGTGCCATAAAGCACAAAGAGATATACCTTGATAATTTCAACTCCATACAAATAGTCCCCATCTACATTGTAAAGAACTCTAGCTAACCACAGACCCTCTTACAAGTACTTTGTGTGAGCCCGTTTTTAAAAACTATACGGTGTTCCTAAAGAGTTTTCTTTACCCTTTTCCGAGGATTAAATAGTTTTGACTATTTGTTGATTTGATAACAATAACTTCAGATTTGCTCTGCCATAAAAAGGACAAACTAAAACTAAAAAGGTCTATTTAACCCCCTAAAGGACACTAGTTTGGGTGATCCTCGTACCCTCCTGCAGGCTCTCTTTTATTGGAGACAATTGAGTTAAGCAACAGAAGACAGTTGCATTGAACAAGGAAAGAGCGTGTACCTGTTTTCCGTTCCTTGCGCTTCTGTTTACTTCCGCTAGCCGAAAGGCTGTCCATGAGTTGATCAAGAGTTTTTTTACCTTAAAGAGATTCCACTCTCAAAGAATACACAAGTAAGAGCTGGTACGACATAAATGATGACAGTGTTTTTTCTCAAACTCCTATAGAAATTCTAACATACATCTTTTTCACCCCTAAGTTAGATTACACGTGTTCGATTAATATTTAGGTAATTGCGAAGAACGTCTTACTGAAAAAATCCGTAGGCTGACATAAATTTTGTCGATAAATTGTGGTGGCAACTCGTTTTTAAGAGATTCAAAGAATGCATACTAAGTTCGACATTTAGCGCATATTTAATATACAGTCAAAGTTTTGTTTTGAACCACAGTCCTCGGGTGTAAGACTAATCGGTAACCTGGTGGTAGCCTGTCGGTGGCCTGTTAGCTATCTGTCGGCCAACAGGTTTTTTTTTTCAGGGAGCTGTCCTTTACAATTACTATCTTTTATGCAAGGATCCTCCCCACTCCACGGTCTCTGGGCTCAAGTCTCGATAGCGCGGTGGTTTCTATTCACTCGTGAACAATGAATTCAGCACGACAATGTGCCCTCTTGATCCCTGGAAAAGCTCCGTCGTTATATTCTTTTGCAGGTTGTTTTGGTCGGTGGCTCCACTCGTATTCCCAAAATCAAGCAACTTGTTCAGGAGTATTTTGCGGAAAAAGAAGTTTGTCAAACAATTGATCCAGACAGTGTGTTGGCATATGGCGCTGCTATTCAGGTACTAAAAATCTTATCTATTGTGGTGTAATCCCCTTCATCGCAGAGGTTGCAATTATCTTCTGTTTTTGGTGACTTTAAAGGCGTCTTTACTTCAAGGAAGAGAAGAACAACTAAATGATACCATAGAGGCGGAATGCACGTCAAAGGCAATCAGTGTGATGGTAAGTAGACCAGTTGGCTCGGTTTCCACCAGCAACAAAAACGGCGATCATAATAATAGCCATAAAGGGGCAAACTAGTTACCTGTCAAACTCAGTACAAAAGATGCAGCAGACTCTTGAACCTTGATTTGATGAACCCGCTGTACTAAAAATTTTGTTATCTGGCTCTAAGGACGTTGGAGACGAGTTCACCCAAATGATGAATTTGTTTCTCTGTGCTCTGAATTTGCGTAGTTCTTTATGCGGGCTTCATGTCGGGAGACTGTCGCAATCTACTAATCAGCTTTTCATGTGTTGCCATTATCAGTCTTCATTTCTTCAGTTGCTGTGATCCTTAAGATTTTCGCGTGTGATTGTTTTCTACAGCTCGAAGAAGCAGAGGCCTGTCTGTGTCCAATTATTCCCAAGTACTCTCCCATACCCTTACGAAAAACACACAACTTTACAACCTCTGTAGACAATCAGGTTTGTGTTTGTTTTTATTGCTTACTCTATTCATATCTGCCATTGTTTCTAAAATATTACATAGAGACGTTCGTATTCCTGTGCGATAGGTTTCTGTTTTGCATTCCCAGACATTTACAGCACCAGACCGAAAGGACTTTAACCCTTTCACTCCCTGAAGTGATTAACACGCAACTTCTCCTTGTAATATCCATACATTATCCAGCAAATAAGTAATGAGAGTACTCCAACTTTATCAGGTAGAATTTGTTATCTTGATCTAACACCAAATTCTCTCAGCCAATTGTCAAGGAAATGTGTAGCAGCGAGAGTGGAGAAATAACAATCAGATCTTGGCAGTTAAAGGGTTCGAATAAGCAGCTGAGTAGAAGGCTTAAGACTTAGTTGGTTGAAAGTTAAGTCAAGAAGCTTACACTGTACATTGGAGATCCTAGAGTACGCTAAATGAAAGGGTAAACTGATAATCTTGAATTTCTTTTGAAAAAGTTTTCTGGAAAAGCAAGAAATCTCAGGCAGCAAAGGGAAATCTGCAAAGTGCGACTGCTGGAAAACATCTTATTGCTGAGATAAATCGCAAGAAATAATTGTAAAAAAAATAAAAATCCGGTTGTTGTTTTTTTTTCTTTTTTATCCCGTGGAATGATGCCTTGGTTCTTTCTGTAGGAGAGTGTTTGTTTATCTGTATATGAAGAGGATCATGACATGGCTAACAATGCTGGAAAGACTCTTGTAGCTAAGGTGAGTTGATAGGAAACGAGTTTCCTACGTGCATGCTCCTGGCTAGGTTGGGTATTTTGGTTTAGTTAATTCATAATCGGCAGACTTCTTTCAGACAGGCGATAAATTTAGGTTCTAATTATAGAAATCAAATTTATACGGCGTCATTTTTTCAAACTCACTGGCATGAACGCGAGCAAAACTAAGTTAAATTTATTTGGCGAGCGCATACGAATAATACCAAGAGAAAATAAGGGTGCATAGGTGGCGAGAAGAGATCCATTAGCGACCAGGGCCACGATAGTCATTATGGTGGCCCTGGTCGACACTGGATTCTCTTAGTGATGCTCAGAACTATAAACTTGCTTGTGCAGCAGCTTATCAAGAAGGAATAAGACAATCACAGAGAAAATAATTAAAAGTCGCTACTGTGAATTTGCGAAGCTCCGCATTCGTGACCGGCCCTGGGCCATGTCGTGATCATTTCGTAACGAATTTGCGACAAATTCGTGACACCATCGTGACCAACAACATGAATAGTAGCGTTGACCAAGTCTCGAACAATTGGTGACTAAAAGGCGTGTGTCGTGATCGTGACGTGGTTAAATCATTGCTATGTCGTAACTCAGTCGTGATCATGCGATGACGCATTCGTGATCACTTTGTGACGAATTCGTGATCCAGTAATGACAGAAAACGAGCCTTGAGAAAGTCATGAACCAATGGTGACTAAGTCAGGTCCAAGGCATGCTCAACGCGTATCCAAGGCGTGCCCAACACGTGTACATGTCGTAACTGGGTCGTGACAGACGCCTAAGGCAAATCATAATCAAGGCACCAAAAGCAAAACACTATAAATTAATATCGTTCTCCTATTATCTCTACAGGTAGTTCTTGAAGATATACCACCGATGGCCAAAGGTCAAGCAGAAATTATAGGGACCTTTCACATCAGAAGGTAAGCTTTGGTTGCAAGCTATATGTAACCTAACAGTTAAAACTTTGAATCGGCGCTCAATTGCGAATTCTGGATATCATCCTTGTTCATTGCTTCGAACAAGACATCTACTCTCAGTTCCTGTCTCTCCTTTGGTTCGGGTTTTAGTCATATGTGATGCTGTCGAGTTTTGGACTACGTTATTGTGTTGCATTGACAAACCAAATGTCCCCTCTATCCAGTTAGTCCTACTCCGCTGAAAATTTTCAGTTTAGTTTGTTCTCAAAGTATTTTTAAGGAAACTTGTCACACTTACTTTCATTTGAAGTATGACAACTCCCCTCACTGATGTTGATGAAATGGCCTCGCCCGTTTCTGGAAACCCTTTTTCCTTTCCGAACATCTGTTGTGCAACACGGTAAAATCCGCTGGGAAAAATTAATGACTCAAGTCATCGTGCAGAGTGCGAGCGAAATAAGAGTCCCTTGACAGGGTTGAAAAACGCCTGCGCATGCGCCAGAGACCCGCGGTATGAAACGTGGGCTCAGACGTGCGCATGTTTAAACTGAATAAATTTTGCGGGAAATGAACAGCCGTTACAAAAGTTTAAAAGATAAGGAAGCCGTTAAAAAGATATGGTTTTAATTCTCATTTTTGAAAAGAAGAAAAGAATTTTAAAAAATTAAGAGGGTGTACAAATTGTGAAAAAAATAGTTGTCGCGCCGAAAAACGGTCTTCTGTGCAAACTTTCAGTACGGTTGCGAACTTGCTCAATTTGCGGCAACTTTTACAGTGTTGTGTTGGCTTTTTCTGATCACTTTTTCGTCCGTTCATGCAAAATGTTCGTTCGTCGGTAAAACAAGGAGCAGTAAAGAAGCTTTCTACGGCAATTGCAAGCCCCTGCCACTTGGTTTGGCAAGAGCTGTGAACTTGCCTGAAGAAACTCCAGTTTGTTTACATCATCGTCGGACGATCGAAAACGGGAGATGACAGAACGCGGAGCCCTACTCCATGAAGAACCCGATGGAGTACTTAAGTGGAGTACCCCTAAAAATCATGTATTGGTCATGTATTGGTCAAATAAAATACTTTACAAACATGTTAAATCGTATAGATGTAGACATCTTTTAATTAATAAATTTTGAGCTTGCCAGCACTGCGATTGTCACAGTTCGATACAGTCCAGTCTTTTGGGGCAGTGGGGGCTCTCAGTGTTACTGGTTCCTCCATTTTGGTTTTACCGCTGTGTAATGAGTCCTTTGACCTGAAGACAAAAAAATCTCCATATGATGAGCAAAGCCCACTGTTTCGAGTTTTGCACGAGGTAAAATATTTCAGCTTACTGCATTTGCCAAATCAACCGCCCCAGTCAGATGTGTTTGCTGACCCATTGGTGTTTTTTGTTGTTGTTGTTGTTGTTTCTTTACATATCTCAATTTTATTACGCTACAAAGAGATGGGTGAAGAGAAGGTCAGTTTAAACACGGTACATGAATTACTTTTTTCTAAGTCCTAGCTTTATCCTCATCGCTTCACACAATTAAGAAACACACGAGGCCTTGTGTAACTTGTGTTGATAGATTAAACGCCACACCTCTTGCAGACACCCTACATAAACAGGTATTTTGAAAGACGTAAAAGCCGCTGCCGATTGAAGTACGTCCGTACTTTCGGCCTCTTGAAGATCATCAGATGAAGGTGGTAATCGGTCCAATAAAGAAAACGTTCACAGATTACATTTCAACTTAACGGCCTGCTCCCAGTTGGCTTGTTAGCTCAATTTGTAGAGCGCTGCACTAGTATCGCAGAGGTCAGTGGTTCGAATCCCGTACAGGCCTGATTTTTTTCAGGTCTGATTTTCGCTATTGCATAAATAGCGCTATCTACTGCGAGGATCGTGCATCATACGTAGATTACATTTCATTAAGCCTTCCGTTTGAAGTGGCCAGCAGTTTATTGTTAAATTCAAGATGGCGATCAATTTGTGGATTGTACCGAACTGTGACAATCATACAGCTAGCAAGACCAAAATACATTAAGATGTGTACAACTAAATGATCTACCATCTTTATAAAGTATTTTATCCGACCAATACATGACTTTTAGGGATACTCCATTAGATACTCCAATTTGTTCATCTCATGTGGGATGGGTGTGCTTTCGCTTTGCCTTGATAAAAAGTTCCATTTTTCTTCGAGATTCACATTTATTACCAAAGCATGGTATTATTTACCTTATACTCAAAGAAATAAGCTTGCAATGTGTTTCCTTACTGAATACTGAAAGTTGTTGGCTCTTGAGCAAGCAAATGAACATTTCCCAAAAATAATACGTTCAACATGTCGACGAGTTCAGTTTACAGAAGTTATTTTCAAACAGCGTCCTTACATTCCAGTTTGAAAGGCAAATATATCCACGAATACACAGTTTAAAGTGCGCCGACATTTCGTTGATCAAACGATCGAACAGCTCGACAACATCAACATGCTCACGCCACGCATGCGCAGACGATTTTCATCCCTGTCGAGACCCTTGGGATTTAACAAAGGCAAACGCAATTGTTGTCAGCGGTCGCTCGATCTGGGTTCACTCTGAAAGATCGCTTACTAACGCGCTTCATCATGAATATCGGCCTAGGGCTGAATAGTTTGAAGCTTTTGAAGTTTGTGGGCAACTGCACCACCTTTTTTTAAGTTTTGAACTCCTTTCCCTTGTTGTGTAAGCCATGTTAAGTAGTTTAATATTTGCGGAAAATGTCACAATCGACGTTTCATGCAAATGTAGTTTCCTGCACACAATTTGTTGTTGTTTATTTGCATTCCTCTTTGGCGAAGAGAGACATGTTGAGTAGTAACTAGTTCGTTTTCTAAACTTTACAGAGATGGATCTTTGCACATTGATTTGATGGAAAAAACATCCGAGAAGTCTGCTGACATCAATGTTGACTGCTACTCTTGATGAGGTCGTACGTGACAAAATTCAATAAAACTCCATTATCTTTTTACATGCAGCGTGCTATCTTGATTGGAATGTTGTGGAGAACGTGATGGAGTTTATGTTATTTTTTAAGGAATTAGTTTATACTCTGCTTATCATAATCAGTTATCACGATAATCTGGCTCTACACGGTAGGGAATTTTTTCCAGATAAGCCGTTCAACCTAAGCTTAGCTCAATTGGTTGAGCGCTGGACTGTTGTGCGGGAGGTCGAGGATTCAAGCCCCGGCTGGACCAACACTCAGGGTCTTAAAATAACTGAGGAGAATGTGCTACCTTTCTATAACATCAAGAAATGGATAGAAATTCTAGTCTTCTCGAATAAGGACGAATAAACCGGAGGTCCT